CGAGATAATCCTACGTTAGATATCTAATACTAATTAAGTAGTAGTTAAAGTATTATAATCCGAGCTATAAGTAGTTCTAACTAAGGTAGGGTTCCTTAATAGAGTGGGTATAAGAGTACTAACTAGGATAATAAAGGGAATACTTATTCGTCGGACTATATCCTAAAACGTAGGTATAGGATTACTAACGAAGTTAACTACGATCTATCCTAATATAGGTAGTAGGCGTATATATATAGTACTAGTGGCTCTCTTAGATCTCGTGGCTCCCCTTAGATCTCTCGAGATCCCACGGGATCCAGGGGATCCAGGAGATCTAGCCTTTCCTGGTCACGTGACTTAGCCTCGTTCTCCATCGGCTAACTTCCCTCCTGGGTAGGTGCCTTGATTCCCTTAGCAACCTTTCAAGTGACCTAGTTCGTAATAAGTATGTATAAGCTCTAGAAGAAGATAACTTATCTTTATAATATTAAGGTATATTATGCGAAGCTTACCTTTAAGACTTTACTTATAGCTTACCCCTTTCTAACTTATTTCAGCATTAACTTGCACTAAGAGGTTTCACCGGACCCTTTCCTATATTTCTCGAAAGCAGTTCCTAAATGCTTCCATTTCTTAGCAGCAATACGTCTATAAGCCCTTGAGGACTGTCCAAATAGACTGGAATCTCGCACTTTTGTGCGAGGATATCTTGGGTTATGTCACGGGTTGAACCCGTAGGATGTCTTGGTAAGAACCAGCGACGTCTAGATTCGACCGTACAGTTGTACAGCGGGACGATATCACGTGACACTAATGGTTACCTAGGATACCGGGCGACCCACCCCAGGAGATTATATCTCCCTGTGGACAGCGGCAGGACTTCTTTCTCTCTTCCCTTCAGCTTAACATCCTTGTTAGACAGGTCCTATAGTAGTTGAACAAGCTCCTATTGAAACCCTCACAGGTTAGTTGTAAAAATTCCTTTAACCCGAATTCTGTCACGGTTCGCGGGCAGAGAGTATGATAGATGTTGACTAGGCAGTGTATTATCTACGTACGGCTATTCAACAGGCACGGGCAGCTTGCAGACTAGGTCAGGTTGATTGACAGGACGTAGCTCGAAGAGCTACAACAGAATGTAGGACGCGTTCACCCGTATATCAGTGTTCGGCAAACCTTCCAGCTAGGTCTCTCACGTGGTTCCGATCCAGCCCCGTGACAAATTCTATAACGTCGGTGATAAGCGAGCTAGCCACCTCACCAGAATCATCGACACATTTCATGACTATACTCAACCACAACGCCTTAAATCAATTGAAACTACTCGGAATCCTCTTCCTCAGATGAGGAGATAACTACTTGACAGGTTCTTGTATTGTGTCCCGACTTACCGTAGACGCTACAGACTCTCAGCCGCGTTTTCGTCCTCGGCTTTCGACCACTACTTCGCTACGTTTTCTGCTTTGTCTGCACTGCCACCGTATTCTAAGCCTGTAGATCTTGTCCCTCGGCTAGTGTCATGCTTCCTCCTTCGCGGAGGCGTATCCTTTTAGCGCGGCGACGGCAGCTAAGCAGCGCATTCTCCTCTCGAAGTGTGTTGGCCTCGGACTTTAAAAGCGCGATCTGGTGCATAATTCCAGTCGCACTCTTCGCAAACTAGTCAATAGCCTTGAGGATCGGTGTCGGAGAGCTTCCTTAATGACCTGAGACTCGATTCTTGATGAATTCGGACTGTGAACTAGCCTCAACTAAATTATTGGGTGTTTTAGAGACCTAAGGTTAGGTAGTCTTAGGGCTATCTATTTCGGGTGTTAGTGTTCGTAGCTTTACATCTAATCGAGTAATAATACTTTCAAGATCCTAGGGATAAAGCCCTACAACTCGAAAGCCTCCTTGAATATTGCTTTCTGTCATAGAGCCCTAGAATGCCGTGAAAAACGTCGGAAAGAAGCTATCCTTAGCAAGATAGGTGGTACCGGCTCTCATCCTCTTCTTAATTTTTCGACCTTACGCCTATTTTTATGGGCCAAAACACCCGATATCTAGGGCTGAAGTATGCGAGGTGAATAGGGAGGTATATAGAGAGTAATAATATTATGATCCTTATGGTAGAGCTTAAAGTCGGTCAAGTGGTGACTTCTATGGCCCTCGAGGATAAGAAGATAATATTGACCCGATGTTCGAGGCTTAGGGTACTTCTTAAAGTGCTGAATCTATTCTAGGCCTCTTTTATTAGTAGTTCAACCGTTTAGGGAAGTAGCGATTACCTAGTCGTGAGAAAGAGTGCTGTTTTAGTACTAAGTTGAGAGATGGTATTTACCGCAAACGATGATGTATGGAGGGACGGTCCAGCTCTTCGCATTGACACCTTGAATGACTATAACCTATTCCTAATTACTAGGCTAGACTAGCTTCGTGTTAGAAAGTCGTTCGGCGCTTGTCACGACTATACCTATTAAGATAATACCTATTATAAACCGGATCTTATTAAAGTTGAAAATACCCGAGTCTACGATGCTATACTTAGTGATTGTGTTCATCACGAGCGAGAACCAACCACGAATCACCTCCGGATCTTCGCATTGGGCCCTCTTATAGTCGTACCGACGAAAGAAACGCGTCCGGAGCTCTGGTTGTCGCTTGATAAAGTGTGCGGCCCAGCGCTTCCCGACCTGCGGCGCGTCGCGCTCTCCGAGCAGTCGATTGGCCATATCTTCTACCTCACACACGAGAATCCAGGTTAAGGATATATTGAACAGTCGTCTTCTCCTCAAGATTGGTCAATTTCCGGGAATTGGGTGTACTGTCGCGTTGAGACGCGTGCCTAGGGTGGCACGAGGGACTCTAAAGACCTTTGCTGCGGCTCTAACGCTTAAATTAGGGTCTTGTCAGATTGCCTGGGTGGCAAGGAGTATCTGACTTTCTTTACAAGAATTATCCATCATGTTTGGTGGAGGAAGACGTGTTGGAAGTTGGTGGTCGCGATTTTCTGGAGAAGTTGTTGGCGCTAATGATTCTAGCGCGTACTAACTCACCTAAAACGTGACGCGCTAAAGACATGGATACTAAACTTAGTGAGGCACTCTTGTGAGTCTCGTCATAAAATTGCTATTGTATCAGCATTTGGAATGCTTGGAAATCAATGAGTGATTTGAGATCATGAAAAAGGGGCTCACGGAGATCAAATACCTCATAGATTTGTATATAAACAAGAACAGAGTCCATAGAATTGAAAGAGACAGAGATCTCATACATGCTCGAGTGCTTGCCAAAAGGGGCGTAGTCAACTTCGCCAACAGAAGTGGCCAGCTCGCTTATCACCCACGTTATACATATTACGAAATTATACTGTAATTCAGCAGCCCTTAATGATGAGTTCGTTGTCCTTAACGGGGTGAGCTATATAGGACTACTAGAAGATTGGATTTGAAACGCGAGCCTTTGAACTTTCTGACAAACACCGTCCTTCCCTCCGATGTCCTCAGGTCCGATAGGCGGCAAACTCTCACTTGAGTCGGTTGATGCGCTAATGGGTATACGTACATAATGTTCTGTAAATCATTTCAGATAGGAACTGAATAAAATAGAGGTAGTTGCTGTTTAGTAGTGCCAGGTGCCTCGTTAGACGTGCGGCTAGTTCTCTTGGGCTCCAGAATCAGTGGTAATATCTGTCAAATAAATCTCAAATCGAGAATACAAGCTATTCCTATACCAAGAGGCCCTCTAATGTATCTGGATGCCAGCACGCCATCCTACAGACACCTTCAATTACCAAAAAACTCCAACTTCTTGCAATGGCATCATGAATCCCACCTTGAAAAGATCAAATCGACCTACCACGCGACATTGCCCAACTTCAAGGGAATAAGAAGCATCCGATGTCCAGTCCCTGCCAGCTTGGGCAGCCTTCCAGCTCGGATGTTCATCTGCAATGACTGGCGGATAAGTTTAGGCTCCGCCAAAGTCGCATCGCGCTTCTGTCGCTGTGTTACGAATTGCTCCACTGTCATGCCATCCTTAAGATGCTTGTTCTTTTCTCGGTCTTGCTGGACGAGCATAAAAGGCAAAGGCGTATCTTGTCCATCACTTCCTTGAGCCGGGTAGTCATGGCCGACGCAAATCTTGGTATTTTCTGGCAAAGTCAAAAGCTTGCGCCCCGATCTAAAGAGACTTTCTGCACATCCACCAGGAAAATCGGCGCGAGCAGATCCAAGATCCACCAGGAAATTGAATCGCCTACAAAGACATTATCTGCGTGTATGGGTTAGATCGCGTATATAAAGGAAGAGAGCGGCGTTCAGGTACCTACCGCCTATCTTGTATCCCATGTGATCTGGAGTGTGATCAGGAAGAAGGATTGCGGTTGCAGTCAATCTACCAACGTGGAATGTCTCATCATCGTCGAAAAGCTTATCAAACACTCCTTCATATTCTTCGTCCGGGATATTGTATCGGCACTAAAAGTTTTCTGGATTTGCACAATGCGCTTTCCAATACAAATAATCGGTCTATTCAGGTTGACTTGGATCTCGGCGAGGCGTTGCTGAAGATATGATGCTGCTGCTAAATGATCTGCATGGGCATGAGTTTCCAAAATTGCATCAACCTTGTAACCTTTTCCTTGATAAGATCTAGCAGCGAGTCGGCTGTTTTCGTGGTGACGGTAGCTGTGGCAGGGTCATAGTCCAGCACGGGGTCGATGATGACACCGATGCTGGTACCGTGGTCGGCAACAATGTATTGCCATGATGCAGTTTTGCTGTCAAAGATAGAATGAACCCTTGGTTCTTTGGCAGGACTGCCTCAGTAGCGTACATGGCTCGTCCTTGACCGGCTTTGACTGAAGGAGTATCTGTGGAGTAGCGTCTACAGCTCAAAAGGCTCCTCGGGGGCGATTTACAGAATACCAAGCTTGTGTAGGATGCAGTATGCGATGGACTGTGAATTCCTCTGGGACCTCTGCTGGCCATATTACAATGTAGACAACAGACTTGCGTGGTTGAGCCGATGAAGGTTGGCATACGAACTTCGATCGCCGACTGAGCAACAACATTACTCAACGGCCTAGACTGTGTGACACACGGTCTCAACCCCTGCATGTTGGCTTGAGTATTGTAATAACTGTGATGGAGTGAAACCAATTCAAAGGAGCTTTCGAAGAGACAGAGTCTTCAATCATCCAATACTCTCATCTCACTCAAGTATTGCTGTATACTGAAAGGCGGAGATCATGTTCCACGCAGTCGAAATACAATAGCCCCGGAGACTTGGGTTCGAGGTACCCAACTGGGATCTCTCGACTAGGTCGGCGACATGTCGGGGATCATTTCATTTTCGGGCTTCTCGGGATACCGACGTGCATGATGACGTTACTCGCGCTTCAGTCCCCCGGCTGGGGGTTTTTCCACCAAAAAGTCATTACCACACTCTAAGTGTGTTTTCAGGGTGCAAGTCGTTTGTGTCACCGCACATCGATATCACAATCAATGTAGATCTTGCAAGACACCTTAGATATCTTAACAGGTCCCCGAAATGCTGATCGATGCCAACCGCCGGGACGGCCTTGGCGAGTTTCTCCAGGCCCCCTAGTAGGCAGCCTGCCGTTTCTTCTACATCCGCATTACCGGCCTGTTTAGTATTCCTTTGACGCAAGCTGTAGCGATTATTCCACCTGTTCGCTCGTTAAGATGTTGCGTTCATATATATCAGCGACAACGCTCATCTCCACGCGTTTCGGAACTAGAGCCCACAATCCTCAATTCGCACGAAGGCTTGCCTCAGTGGCAACATATCCATCAACGAGTTCGACTTCACACCACCATAAAGTGATTGTCGTGGGTAGTGGCAGTGCTGGCCTTACAATCAGCCATCAATTACTTCGATCGGGTAGTTTCAAACAAGATGACATTGCTCTCATTGACCCTGCCGAATGGCATCACTACCAACCTGGCTGGACTCTGGTTGGCGGCGGCCTCAAAGACAAGCGAGATCTGCGAAAGCCTCTAAATTCTCTCATCGAGCCACAATTGAAGTTCTACAATGAGAAGGTGGAAACCTTCTCGCCGGAACAAAATTCAGTATCCCTAGGCAACGGTGGGAAGCTCAACTATGAGCAACTTGTAGTTGCACCAGGTATTAGTGTCAACACCGGAGCTATTAAGGGTTTGCCTGATGCTCTTACGAACCCAGATTCGAACGTCACCTCGATATATACATATGACACATGTGATAAGGTCTTTCCGGATATTTCTAAGCTCAAGAAAGGCAATGCAATCTTTACACATCCCGCTGGCGTGGTCAAATGTGCAGGAGCCCCACAGAAGATCATGTGGCTCGCCCTGGATCATTGGAAAAGTGTCGGTCTATACGATATGAACAAAAGTGCCGCTTCACCAATTCACATCTCCTTCGCGACTGCTATGGGGGTAATGTTTGGTGTACCCAAATACAGCAAAGCGCTCAATGAGCTGCGAGAGCAGAGGGGTGTTGAAGGACTATTCCAGCACGATCTTGTGGCTATTGATGGCAACACAGCTACCTTTGCTCTTCCCGATGGAAAGGATCAAGTTAAGAAGCACTTCGACTTTATGCATGTCGTCCCAAAAATGGCGCCTCATGCATTCATCCAGAACAGTGTTCTTGCGAATGAAGCTGGCTTTGTCGATGTTGATGAGTCAAACCTTCGTCATAAGAAATTCGCCAATGTTTGGTCCTGTGGCGATGCCTCGAGTCTTCCTACCTCTAAGACCGCGGCTGCAATTACGGCCCAGGCTCCCGTATTGGTACGAAATTTGCTTAATACCATGGAGAGCAAACAGACGTCAGACACATACAACGGATACACATCATGTCCTCTTTTAACAGAATACGGCAAGGTCATGCTTGCTGAGTTCAAATATGGAGCCGAGCCCCAAGAGACGTTTGGCTCCGTGTTTGGTATCAACCAGGCTGTTCCACGTCGTGCTTTCTACCATCTGAAGAAGGATTTCTTTCCCTGGGTGTACTACAAATCAATGGTGAAGGGTACTTGGGCTGGGCCAAAAGGCTGGCTCAGATCGTGACCGTTATTGAGTCTGTAAGATAGTATTCATCATTTACTGTATATATACACATCGCTATACTTCAATACCAGTAAAAAGCATGAATATGGGAGATATCTATTATAGGCGCAGTCCATCCGGACATTCCCGTCCTCCGTAGTTCACCTCCTATATCCGTCCACGACGGGTCTACTGTGGGTGACATTAGTTGTGGCGGGTTATTGCTTTCAGATGCACGCCCCAGTAAAGGTAATATCGATAATACCACGAAGTATCATTCTATACAAATTGGTAGTTAAGGAGACCCCCGCGCATCGCGATTGTATCCAGCACCCTATCTAGCATTTCATCGTTATATCAATCCATTATCTCCTCGTTCGGTGAAGATTTATTCTACCTATACCCATTCCTTGACTACTTGAGCGATTTTGAGGTACTGCGTACCTTTACGTCACATTTTTTGTGGAAGGTCTGTGGTCATTGCAATTTCTAGCTTGGGTTAGTTTGGCTGTTATCAATCCGATGTATTCGGCCTTCAGATCTCGATCTCAGGCTCTAGTCAAAGTATAATAGATCTCTATTTCGTCAGAATTTTCCTCGGCTGGCCTGGCATCGTTTTGTCTCCGGGAACTGACATCATATTAGGTTTGAAGGACCCTAGGAGCAGAAATCTCGGTTTCGCTAATCCAAACAGGTTTTAATCATCGCTTTTCGGGGCTTGAATGGTCTTCATGATACTGGATGTCTTATCCGGTCTTGGCAGGATTTTTGAGGCTCGATAATCTCCATGACACCGGATGTCTTGCCCGGCGATGGCGGGTAAGTGCTTGGTATAAAGTACGGAAGCATCTCTAGAGAGGAAGTGAGAGCGAGCACCCTCACATAAATTACCATATTCGAATCCACTTGCGACGCAGTCCAAGTCGTTTCCCACTTTTCCACGGATAGGAAGCCTTTCAGCCCCAATTTAGTAATACAATGTCGTCGAATTCAGGTCCAAACCACGAATTCCTGCCCCTTCACAATATCTGCGAGTTTCTAAATGCTCTGCACATCTACACAGATGAAGCTCGACAAGGCAAGACACGAGCTGTCGAGGCACATCATTTCTGCTCGCATGTGGGAAAAGGTAAGCTAACGGCTTTCCCACCAAAGATAATACACCCCTTTCTCTACCAAGGAACAAAGCTAACCTAGAGCGTTCTCTGCGTCTTTATAGATCTACGTCAGTGCCTAATCTACGACTCCGGCGGCAAAGACGCACGCCTCATCGGCGTTGAATACATGGTCCCCAAGCACGTCTACGAGACACTTGATGTCGACGAGCAGAAGTTATGGCATAGCCACGAGTTTGAGGTGTCATCAGGCATGCTTGCTCTACCTAAACCGGATGCGTATGACCATGATGAGTGGAACGAGCTAGAAACCGAGGCGATGAAGGAAGTAGCGTGTTTGTACGGAAAGACCTGGCACTTCTGGCAGGTCGACCGTGGTGACGAGTTGCCCTTGGGCTTTCCTACGCTCATGGGCTCGCTAACGGCCAAAGAGCAAATGCCTAACCTAGCAGAAATGCTTACGCCGCGGAATGAGACATGGAGCATTGACCATGAACATAAGGCTCGAATTCGCAAGAGCGCGGGTGTATTGGGCTCTGGTGTCCACGAAAACGCCGACTCGTGGTGGAAAGAGAGTGATAGCAAGGCGAACAGGTCTCTCTTTCAAAAGATGACTGATGCGATTCGTTGACGAATGTTATTGAGCCAAATAAGCATCAGCAATCAGCGAAGCGCCGAAGCTTCCAGGAATGCACTGCTGTATAGGCATTGAGTCACAGATTCTATATGAGTTCGACGGCTTAATGTGTTTCTATGTAGATAAATAAAGGAAGTTCTATACCTAAGATACACTATATAGCAAGCCTAGTAGAATCCCAGAACTCTTGGCAACCCTAAATAATCCTAACAATAACTCAAAAAGTATGTAGATAAATATAGGAAATAGGTGAAAGGCCGATAGGAATTCGTACATGGCCTACAGCCCCAGAGAATTACCGCCTAGGATTTCTCTAGTGTCTATATCTATAGGACGAACTCCACTTCCTTTTAACTAGGCGGCCATATACTAGGGATCACTTGTAGACCTTCCCCCGCCTAGTTCTCCTCTCTCTAATCCTAGTTAGTGTCCTTCAAGAAGATGTCTTCTAAATTTAATGGGTCGGGCCCGTCGCCGCAATTATTGGTAAGGTCCCAGAAGCCTAGCACTTTGAGTTAGTTAGGAAGTCCCTAAGGCCTATATTACCCGTTTGTGGCTGTATTAAGATCCGAGCTATTGTATTTTAGTCGATCTTTATAGGGGAATATACTTCCCTTAGTATTTTATAAGTAATACGGGGTCTTCAGAAGCTTATAGGACATAGCTAGACTATATAATAGGTTAGGTTCGGTAACCTGTAGTATTGTTGTAATTAATATGTGTGGTAAATCATAGAAGTTAGAATTAATATTGTGTGGGTCCCCGAAGTCGCCGAAATATCTCAACCGAGGAATTGGGATGACCTATAAGCATGCGACATTGCTCAGTCGCATCCTGCACTGAGCAGTGAGCACATCCAAATCACGCGATACCAATGAAGTACGCAAAGAAAGAGGCAGGTCCGGTTGGAAATGCTGCAAGCACCCGTAACAAAAGTATGTCTGGCAGCTATGTAGGACGTCTAACATGTTTGCTAATTTCCAGGGCACGACCAAAGATGAACCTCGATCCAAGAAGACGCGATTGCAGAACTATCTGTTGTCTTCCCTGCGAGTTGATATTTTGATCGAAGCACAACTCCTACTTCTTACTTTTAGCACTGGAATACAGGATGCGATCAGCTTTCCGGACTTTCATTGTTTTGCCTCAAATCAGACTGGCAACTCTGTTGTCCTGGCTGTCGGACTAGCTGGTCTTGGTAGTGATCTCTTCAATGTTTCCAATGTAGGAGTGAGCTTGGGCTGCTTTATTGGTGGCGCCATTACTACAGGGCAGATCTCTCATTTTGCTGGACAGCGGCGGAGGGCCTGGCTGCTCTTTTCACACCTGCTGCAGACTATCATGATTTTCGGCGCAGCCTGGATTCAATCGAATTCCGCTGCACGAGGTTCTGGGCCTTCTGCCTTAGGAGCTATAGCACTACTGGCCTTCTCTTCCGGTGCTCAGGTCGCTTCCATGCGGCCTATGCGCATACCTGAAATAACCACGGCGATGGCGACCGCCGCTTGGGTTGACCTCGTTGTGGATTCTAATCTGCTCGTGTTGAAAAACCGCTCGAGAGACCGACGGGCCCTCTTTCTGTTGGCTTTGGTGGCTGGAAGTTTTGCAGGGGCTTTCATGCACGTTGGCATTGGTTCGTCCAATGCGCTGATTGTGTCAGCATGTGGGAAGTTGTTGGTCTTTCTGACAATATTTTTTAACCGAGAGCAGAAGCCGCCGGCAGAAACTGATGTGTAGTTAGTGAAAATAACTTAAGAGTTATGGTCAAGTCCACATCTTTGTCCTGAGAATTGTACACAGCACGACCCTAATATGCAAAGTGAGCCCAATGTCACAAAACTCTCGCATTCATGTCAGTTTTTCTAAGCTATTTACGGTTGCACGTTTTATGGCTCATTGCGCAGCGGCACTCTCGAGCTAGCGGCACTATTTCAAAATTTGTCATTACCTTTCGACATGGCCTTACCTTAAGTATTTATCTTTTGATAGATCATTCGGTGCAGTTCCAAGAAGCCAAAGATGCACATCGTTTCCCTATAGATTGTTTGTTGATGGCTTCAAGACACGCCCGATGGAAGTACTCACGGCCCAATGTGAAGAAAACTGGATACCCAGCCAACGGAAAAGCCAGCGAGCACTCTCATTTCAATGACGTAATAATGATGCTGAGGACGTTTTAGGTCAAGCGATGGCGTTATTGGCAATCGCGGGGTTATAGGCGAGTCTGCGTACGGAGTATGTACTATACAGTACTTACTTCTTCAAGCCAATAACATAGCGACGAGAGATTAGACCGTGTTACGCACGACCAAGGCATAGCCCTTGCTTTACTATTTGTGTTCAGCGGAACAGCGTATATTAGGACCTTTTGCTAGGGAGCTACCAACCCTCCGAGGCAATCCAACGAAGCAAGTTTCATGTGCCTCTATATAGCGGGTTGTTGGCTATCCGGACCTCACGTTCTCGCCGAGCCTATGGTAACTAGGGAGTTTGGAAAATTTAGAAGAGAAGGAGATATGTATGAGACGCGTTGAAAACGCGTGTTTCATTACTAGGTCGTTCACTAGGTGGTGCCTAGACTCAATTAGAGTACCTTATTAAACCTTAATTATTACAACCCCCAGAACTCGGTACAGTACTTCGTACTCGTGAGCACTGAGACCTTGACACGTGGGTACACGTGTGCTGCAGACTGCGCCAAGCCGCTAAATGGTCCAACACAACTTTATTCGGCGCCTCAAGCGTCAACACAGTGATTTGCGGGTTTAACACCGTTTTCCTCCATCCAATATTTTTCCAAAGTGCATTCGATCTTTCTCTCATGCGGTGATTTCGACCGATCGAAAGCAGCAGAGAAACGTCTCCGAGCCGCGTTATACCGCGATTGGCTTGAGACAGACCCCGTGATAAAATATGACCAGCCACGAGATGAAGCTACAACATTCATCGCAAGACCTACCGTGCAATGGTTGCAGGAAACGCAAAGTCCGATGCTCAAAGACTGAGCCATGCTCAAACTGCAAACGGTTGGGTCAAGAATGCACATTTGATGACTCCAGCCGGGTAGTGCGTAGACGGAGGCCTGGAGCAGACGGATCTGCCACTGAAAAGCTGAGAACGAGAGTCTCAGAACTGGAAGAACTCGTCCAAAGTCTGCAAAGGCCATCAGATCAAGGTGAGGATCTCTATAGTATATATACACCTGTGAAAAGACAGAAGCTATTGACGCCGGGGTTTACAGGGGTTCCGATGGATGCTTTAACCCAAAGCATTCTTGAGAAACACATCAACCAACAACCCAGCGTCGAGGGGAGACTCGTCTTTGACCGAGACCAGTCTCGTTATCTCCACCAGGGCTTCTGGGCGGCCATGTATGATGAGGTATGTGCAAATCTACATCTGTGTCTCTGGGCTACCAGGGCAGTGCCTTTTCTGGTAAACCTTCGAGTATTTTGTGAAGGGTTCCCGCTCAATTATTATCTGAACAACAAGAGCTTACAATCCAGATCGGGGACTTGGATTTCACTCTTCAATCGAAGCCTCAAATTGTCGACAATTTCCTTCTCGCCAGCCTCGGAAGCCAGTCGTGTCCAGAGTACTCACACCCTTCCAGAGACGAGGGCGACTTTCTGCTCAAAGTCTTCGTCGAAAAGGTGGACCCTTTCGTCCACCTCCTTCATAAGCCTTCCTTTCTTTCGGAACTCAATCATTTCCGGCGCGGCCTCCTGGGAAGTGACACGACATTCGAGATTATGCTTTTTACCATCTATATGCTTGCCTTGCTGCCTCTGAAACCCGCCACGGTCGAGACCCGGCTGCACGAACCCAAGGTGGCTCTCATGTCGCGCTATCGGTCTTATGTGGAGTATGGATTGAGTCGAAAGAACATTACTACCTCTCAATCCCTCAGCACTCTCCAAGCGTTCCTGCTGTACATGGTAAATATCGTTCCCCTTCTTGCCTTCCAGGACCCGCCTAACACAGCCAGACACACTTATTCTGGATAGGTGAGATGCTTCACGTCAGTACCCTCCTGGGGATCGCAGTCGCCATGGCACGCAGGATGGGTCTTCATCGCGACGGGTCTTCATTCCCTCTTGCACCGTGGCAAGTCGAGCTACGGCGTCGCCTGTGGCACCACATTGTGGTCCTTGATGGTTGGTGTGTGGAGAATCACGGATTGCCACCTTTGGTGAGCCTGGAACATGTGAATACCGCGTTACCTCAGAATTCGAATGACTCTGCCTGGGACACCTCCAAATTCGCATCATCGCGTCCGGCAGTCGTGACGACTTTCACGGATATGACCATCTCGTTGCTGCAGTCTGAGATTGGATCACTGACGACCTTCACCCTCAAACATCCTTACACGAGCTCTATGGATGTTCGGGCGTACCTTGATTTCCAGACGGAGATCTTGGGAAAAGCGCGTCAACGACTGGAGAGCACATATTTGAAGTGTCTCGACCGAAATCAAGTTGTGCACAGACTGGCGCGAGACTTGGCAGACCTGGCGTTCACACGAATCAGGCTGATACAGCTACAGCCCGTCTTAAATGCAAGAGGCTGCGGGGAACAGGAACAGGCTGAGATTGCGGCAAAGTAAGTACAGCCCCTTGCGGGATCTTGGTCATATTAAAAATAAGTCACTCCAGGTTATATGGGATGGCAACTGACTACTGCAAAACATCGCAATTTCTGATATCTGCATATGCACCGCATAATCTCGACTGGGCTATTGTACGGGCCTTCTCATGGCATTCGGTGGCGACCATGCTCTCGATGGTATTACGGCACGACAGTCTCGCTAGCACGCCCGAAGCAAGAGCAGCGCGGTCGAGGATAGAGAAATTGTTTCAAAACCGTTCATCGATTGGCTATCTTGCGGACAATGACAGTCTTTGGGTGCCGTTGCAGAAATTGCGGATGGAATTGGCGGTTAAGGAAGGTACATTCGAAGCAAAAAACCTCGAGTCAGTCTCTTCCATGGATGCCTCGGTTGATCTTTCGCACTTTGGGTGGAATGGAGAAGGCGTTTCTAGCATGTTTAGTGGTTGGGGTGACGACCATATGCCAGAAGCGCTACGGTAGAATGGCGTGTCCGTAAGCCGGGGGTGTATTTACCATATCTTGAGCCGCCGAGCAAAAGAGGAAGTTCCAAGCGGAAGCCTGAAGACCACGAAGTCTTGACTACCGCAAGATGTGAAAGCAGAATCAAGTCTCACCTGGAACAACCATGCGTCCACCGTTACAGTACGTGTCGTCCCGACATGAGTCGTGGCTGCTTGAATGTTACAGAGTTTCCGGCCCGTAAGCGGATTCCACAGCCTGACAGTCCCATCGCTAGATGCTGAGGCGAGGAATGTACGGTCTTGCGGGAATATCACAGCAGGGGTGAGACACGTACATGAGCATGATGAAATGTGGACACACAAACTCCTTACTACAATTGTTTGCGTTGCTAAAATCATTATGAATGGAGAGATCTGAACAGTTCTTATCGAAGTTTGTATCTGAGTATGAAACTCGCAATGCAAGCTAGACTTCCGAGTCCGTTCGGTAATGGAAAGCGTCGACAAGGAGCGCGAACGTGCAAACGGGCTTGGATTACTACGAGAGAAACTTTTGATAGGGCAGGCACAGTCCTGACTCCGGATTCGGGTTGGTTTCGCGTGCAACACACAGGTACTAGTATCGTTGAACTGACAACCTTCAATTGAGTTGACGGACTGTGGCTGCACCTATTGCAAGGTAATGTCCCCAAACCCGCCTTTTCGCTACGAGGTTCGATGCAAACAGATCGTACTTGCTTGACAATGCTGAGCATGTCGCGAAGCAAGCTAGAGATTTTGAATCCTCAGATAGGCTCTCCAGCACAGCTAGGCACTGTTTTCGTCGAGATCTTTCACGTTCAACGGTGCCTCAACTGCAGCAGTGTATTCTCCCTTTGGATCTTTAAGAAATATGGCAGCTACTCCGGGTCAGGACAGTCATCGTCTAAGATGGTTTGATCTATGACTTACCTATGGCAGCGGCCACTACATAAGCGTTCCGGAAAGCAATGTTGTACACTTTCTTCTGAGCGACAGACGCCCCTTCCAGAATCTCTTCCGTAAGGAGGAACCACCGTAGCCTTTCTCTAAAGGTGCGATAAGTGGCGTACATGCATTCTTCAGCTGTTCGGTAAAATTTTTGGACATACAAGTATACAAACTCGAGAGATTCTACAACGAGAAGTGGTCATTTTTCCCCTTTGCGGAGAATACTTAGATACAGCGCCAGATGGCTGCTGAGGCGATCGATAGGGTTTAAATGCGCGTCACCTTTGGGAGTTCGGGGATCAATTGCGGTCGAAAACAGGGCTGTATATGAGCCTGGAGATAGCGAAGGATATGAACTTGGCGATCAGTGGAAGATGATTTTGGGGGTCCATATTGTAAGACTTCGGAGAGCAGTTTGTACCTTTGATGCAACCTATGTGAATCGCCCATGTCAGTACCTTAACGAACGTAAGCTGGATTCGGGGGTTTCTCTTCTTTTACTCCTTGGGGGAAGAGAAGAAGCATCGGAATTCTCCTCCGCTGTATATTCACTAGTGTTGTCCCCGCCACGATCGATCACTCCCGTCTGAGGGAGCCCAAAGACGCGCTGCGCTGGTGCCAGGTATTTTCCTCCGCCAGTGGACTGGCAAGATCGACTCTGTGGTCGCGAAGTGAGCTGTGCAGTCGGTATTTGTTTTCCTGTATAGGAAGCAGGATTGGCCCTTGGAAAAAACCATGTCAAGCTGACTCTGTTATCTCCCTCGCAATGGAAGTACCAAAAATCTGTGCCACACCAGTTATCATTACGAGCTTTTCGGCTGGAATTCCTTCTCAGCAGGGGTGCATGTTGATATAAAAACATATTATGGTGCGCTCAGGAGAGAGGTTTGGACCCGCCCTGAATTTGCTTACCGGTGGCCCTAGACCTCTTCACCATGAGGAGGTGCCCTGGTCGGAGCTTGGAACGAGGATTTCTCGCAGATCCATTGTTAAAAATAGTCCTGCCACCTCTATGATGTATGCGGTCACTATCTATCTACATTATCGTAGATAGAACTAGGAGATAGTGGTAGTCACTTATTCCTTCTCACCCCTCCATTCACAACATTGCATGCTCGACGCTATACAGCAGCCCTCCCATGATATCCAAATTTCACCAACCCATTATACATAGTATTTCACCTCAGGACCGTTCTTGACATAGCTTCATGCATCATCAAATTCGTACCTGTTGACCCTCTGTTTGGTATTTCATAACCATGATCCAAGAACTTGCTCAGTCTTCATTTCCAAAAAGCACCATTCTGATCCATGCTCTCATAAAATGCTTCATCATTGGGGTTGACGCATATTAACGCTGGATTGCCCTCCTGCGTTGGCGCATGTATTGCCGGGGTCTGTGGACTCTCTTCTTTTGCAGACCAAACTCTGTCTAACCGAGTGCACGTGCCAAAAGGCCAAGCGAAATTGTTGGGCTCCATTTCAGTCTCCTCATCTTCTTGCTCGTAAGATTGTGCTGGCGGGGCTTGATGCGCAAACGCAGAACCGGGAGAGCATGAATTTTGTGTTAGACTCAGGATTCCCGGTGACTGATCCAACCTCGTAGTTTTTGTAGTATAATGAGTGCTCTGGAATTGATAAGTTGGCAAAGACATAGGCTTGCTCATTGGCACAACTGGGGCAGAATGAGTCTGAGAATGATAGGAAGATTGGTGGATGTTATTTGACTGCACTGGCGGTGTACGGTTACTGTTGATTATTCTTCTCTTGCTCCCTTGTAATTGAATACTATGCTCTTCGCCTCTGTAGTAAGTTGTGGACTTTTGGTGTGGTAGTGAATAGCCCTTTCCATCTATTACATTCTCTAGATCGTCTCGAGGGCTCCTATCGGCGACACTTGAATAATTAGAGACCGAAGGAGATACTGGTGGAGATTCAAAAATGCTATCTACCTCGGCGCTTAATTGCGCGGAGGGAATTTGTGACTTAAGCTTTGTAAGGAGGGACAGCGCCCGTCGTAAACGATCCTCCAAGATTTTAGTACGGGGTGCGCCTGCCACCTTTTGACCTTTGGTGGATGTAAATGTACAGTCTATTTCGGATATGTTAATTTCTGGCTTGAAGACTTTAACTTTGGACTCACATCTTTCGAAATCCTCACACGGTTCACACGGTTGTCTTCCAGTGCAACGAATCTTGCGCACACGACATTCATTGCATGCTCGACAGGCGCGAGGGTATTTCCTCCTTTTAGACGGCTCTGGTGGCACAGGCTGGCTATCATATTCCTCCTCCATTGTGACATAGAAATCTGGCAGTGGCTGCTCTGGAGACTCCGGCCTTGGAACCAAGAAACCCACTTGTAGAGCCACTTATCGCAAATGAAGAGTTTAGGGTATCTCAACCGATCAGCCCCCCGCGATAATTTCTCCTTTAATGTTGAGGGACAAGGTAACTAGATAGAATCTTCACACTGGTCCACAACCCTGACAAGCAAGGGCATAAATGTGCATATAGTGTAAAGACTTCGTGCTTGGAAAGGCAACCTGAGCAACATGTTCAGGCCAAATGAGATATCATGGATACTTTATCCCCAATTGAGTTCCTGGATTGGAATATTGTACTGTAGCCCTTGGAACTGTGTGTCCGCGGAAATATTCGCTCGGTCACAACGGTGGAACCAGTTGAGGTCAAGCTAAATAAGGATGATCATGTGGGAGCAACCCGCAACACGAGAACTCAGATGCTCTGGTTCCACCCGTAGTATGCACTATGAGGCTTGCGCAGGCATACTGTCGTCAAGATCCAAGGGGTCACTTGCGTTACTAGACCGACATAAACGCTGGCCTCAGAAGAGGACACTTGGCCCTACGAACAATCTGCAGCCAGTGTCGTGATTATCCCTGCCGCTACCGAGGTTGGACTGTTTTCTTGGTACTCTTGACACTCTTCCTATTTCGCGAATATCTCTTTAATCTATTGGAGTAGCAAGTCCAAATTAAGTGTGCCCTGACATTGGAATTACTATCGACTGGCAAGCAGGAGGAAAGGGCTAGCTTGGTTGAGCAAAACAAAGAGGTGGCAAGTTGGGTGAGTGCCAATTAAGCAGATCCGTTCCAAGGCTTGATGTTGCCACATGCGTGGCCCGCGAACGTTTTCTGCAGGCCAAGCCATACGACTCCTGGAGGCGTCTGGGCAGCTGACGTCTTAGCATCTCGAATCATCGGGAGTTACGAGAGTCTTGGAACCTTGAAGCTGGGAAGCCCGGGAGCTTGTGGCAACAGATCCGAAATTGAGACACTTCGGGTTCTTCCGACCCCAAATTCGCCTCCTTGCGCCGACTAGTTTCCGTCCCAGGCACTCCGCTTTGAATGTGGCCAGATGATCCACAAATACCCGATTTTCTATAAGGCCCCGCGCCTCCGCCTCGCTTCGCACCATCGCTTGCGTCGCTACGGAAGGCTAATGTTACGACGTGATGCATAACATGTTCCCAGATCTAGAACGCGTTTGAGCCAAAAGGCCGCTCCAACCTTCGCATGCACCATGAAGCGGTAAATGATGGCAAAAGGATAGTTAATTGCTTTTGAGGCCTTAAAGAAAGCCCCAGGAGCCCCAGATCCAGCGAGATGTAGTGTGAATTCGTCTTAGCTTCGACCAGGGATAATCTATGTCCTAGAATTTCGAGAGTAGTCCTGCATCGAGCCATGAGGCGCTCAGCTTTGGTTGTGGATGAAATCCGCATATTTTAATTCTAATCCTTGCATGAGAGGTTTCACCTGGAAACGTCGGTCTGCTTTCCAAAGTTTGATATGAATCCAGCGAAGGAAATGGGAAGACCCAGGCAGCAAGCTCTCTAAGAGCATGTTTCGAGGCCTCGATCAATTGACAGAACCCGTGAAGGGCTTAGAACGCCGACTCATCATGAATTGGATATCCCACAAGCCTTTCTCACTAGTTCTCATATTGATGACGTGTCACCCCAAGCGGTATGATATGTGCTGCTAGTCAAGGATTTAATCATTTCCATACCCATCGCCAAGCACGTTC